GCTGGCACCGGAGATCCAGGAAGCTCTGAGCCGCCCGGAGCCTCCAGGGCCGCGAGGGCACCAAGTGCCTGCGCTTCCGGCCCCTGCCCCACGCGCCCGGTGGGTCCCAACCTCCCTGCGAACCCGGGAACGCCGACCTCCCACGTGCAGACCCCATCACCGACCCACGCCTAGCCGCTCCGCCGAGCTAAACCAGGAAGGGAGCCTGGGGAAAGAAAAGGGGGCGGGAAGCGAGCTGGCACCCCGGCGCTGTCTGCAGTCCGCAGGACAGTTTGGGGCGCTCCCTGGAAGGGCCAGCCCCGCGGCCTTGGGAAAGGAAAAGACGGACTTCCTGTTTGTGGAGCAAGGAAAAAGAGCGAATCCGTGGGGCTAGTGGTGCAGAGAAGCCGGGTCCTTTTTTCTGGACGGTGTCTTAGCCTGTAAAAAGGGGCTGGCCTTCCACTTAGCCTGTTTCCAAGGTTAAGTCCTGCACCCTGTTGACCGCTGAATAATGTTACAGCTACACCACCGATTAGATGATTGATCCACTCATCTGTCGATGGGACATTGGGATTGTTTCCACTTTTTGGCCATTCTGAATGTTGCTGCTGGAAACATTTATGAACATGGTTTTATGGGGACATTTGTATTCATTTCTCTGGCTCCTTGGGTGTGTGACACACCGGTAGCAGTGCTTGGCAGGAATGTGCCGAGTCGGCCAATGCCTAGCTTCAGGACCTTCTATCTTGACTCAGCTGCCAGCCAACCCAGCGACTGTGGCTTCCTTTGCAGGAGGTGGGCCCCACCATGGTGGGCGATGAGCACTCAGACCCGGAGCTGATGCAGTATCTGGGAGCCTCCAAGAGAACTGTCCTGGGAAACAACTTGTAAGTCGCCACATTCCTCAGTATCTTCCCCCAGCCACAACCACAGACCCAGGGACAAGGCACTGGCCAGCTTCAGAGCCTGCACCCTGGGGCTCTGTCGTCTGTAGGGGTCTGCCCTGTCCCCCAAGGCCCCACATGCTCTGGAAGCTCTCCCCGTGGCCCTCCTTTCCTGAGCATCCTTGTAGTCGACACATTCCCTGTCCTGCCCTTTCATTTCTAAGCCAGGCCCTAGCAAGGCAAAGGTAGGCACAGAGATAAAGATTTCTGTCCCCAATGGTGAAGACAAGCCTTGGAAATGAAGAATAGGGAGCCTGCGTGCCACCTCCAGCCCAGCTGCTGCTGCCTAGGGTCCCGGCCATTCCCTTGGCGGCCCCCACCCCACCATCGCGTCTGCACTGAGACCGCAGTTGTGAGTGTCCAGTCCAAAGGGGGAGAGAGGTGAGCTGATCGCAGCTCAGCCTCCAGTCAGGTGGGAAGTAGAAGCCGACTCCAGCCCTTAGCCCTGATGGATTGGTCTTGAGATGCCTGGCTTGATGCTCTGAGCCCTTGAGCTGCTCATTGGCCCGTCTTTACTCATTAAACCTGGAAAGTGGGGACCTGTATCCATGATGCCAGGCAGTGGCACAGAGGTGGCAGCTCTTGGGGACCAGTCTTGCTGCTGGAGGACTGCAGGACAGCAGCACGCTGGGAGGGCAGGCCGCTCTTCCTGAGGTGTCCCTGCTCAGGACGTGCATGACCGTCCTCAGGCTAACGTGGGTCCTACTCTCTGACAGTGGAAAAGTTAGTTCACACCTTTGGGTTTTCTCGTTTATAATGGGGACAAGTTTTTCATTAGGGTGATGGGAGGAGTTTGCACGCACAGAGCTCACCAGGGAGGCAGTGATGTGCACTCAGGGGGCCCCGGAAGCCACGCGATATCACGACTGTAAGGGTACCTGAGGCCCTCACTCACGCCGCCCCGTCCGGTCTCTTTGCAGTTGTGAGTACTACGTCAACGACCCTCCTCGCATCGTCCTGGACAAGCTGGAACGCAAGGGCTTCCGTGTATTAAGCATGACCGGGGTGGGCCAGACCCTGGTGTGGTGCCTGCACAAGGAGTGACCGATCGATCGCCGAGAAGCAAACCGCTGGCCCCAAGGCCTGCCCCCTCCTCCCACCCCCTCACTTGCCCTGCCCAGCACTAATGGGCAGATGAATTCCCTGAATTTTGCCCCCACCAGTCGGGAGGGCAGGGCCAGTGCCCTGGTGTAGGTCTGTGAGCAGGGTGAAGGGCTCCCCACCAGGCACCCCAGCAGGGGGTGGCTCCCGGGCCTGGGTGGCGGCCCGCGTGGCTAGTCCAAGCCAATAAAGGGCTGTGATGAGTGGTTGCTCCTCAGCTGTGCGGGTGCATGGACTCCCACTGGGGTCAGCCCCCTCCCTCCCAGGGAGGGAGACCCAGGCCTGGGCGGAGGCCTCCCTTTGAGGCAGAGCCCAGAAACCAGGTAGGCAAAAGAAACACTTCAATAATAATAATAAAAAAAGTTTATTGGTGTTTAAGAAAAGGGATGTATTGTGGGATGAGCTGGCGCCTAGGGCTACGTGGGCGGCCCCTCCTCATCCTCCTGCTGCATCTGGGCGATCAGCTGCTGCCGCTCAGCTGCCTGGCGCATGCGCATCATGACGAGGCTCTCGTAGTCCCGCTCGGACAGCACTGAGCCCTGGAAGGTACAGGAGGGACTCGGGTGAGGGGCCCAGGGCCCAGCCCCAGAGGATGGAGGTTAGACAGCGCTGCAGCCCATGGCCGATTTAAAGCTCTTCGGAGCAGGCCAGTCCTTTGCCTGCAGGGTCCTTAACCCGGCTGCGCTGCGCATCAGCCAGCGCTGCTCCTCTGCTCCGCGTGAATCGCTCCCCAAGCTCCAGCGGGGGCTCGTGCCTGCGGCCTTAGCGCTGGCCTCTGCCAGGTTTCTGGTGAAGGGGAACTGTGTGAGGAGTCGCTCTGCTCGGCCGCCAGGGGAGCTGGGGGAAGGGGAGCCCCACCCTAGGAGGGAGAAGCACGTGTGGGTCCGACGGGCCTAAGAATACACAGCCGGGCGCCCTTTATGATCTGGTGCGGGGGATGGAGGAGGGCTCGATTCTAATCACCCAAAGAATAATAAACAGCCTTCGACGGGCACGGCTGGGCTGGAGAAGCGACTCTTGCAGCGGGGCGGGCACAGCCTGCGGCCCCGCCCCCCCCTCCCCCTCCGGCCGTGGGGCTGAATCATTTCCTTCCATGACCCATGAGGTGCTGACAGGTTCTTGGAAAGTGGGGGCTTTGAACGTGTTCAGTCTGGGCCCGTGAGATCCCACACTAGAATGGACCCGACGTTTTTAAAATGTGGGTGAACGGGAATGGGAGAAATGAGGGTTCAAAGCCCGGCTAGAAACGGGAACCTCCCTCATAGAAAACAAAGGCCGCGCGCGAGCTGCAGGGAGACCAACTCTCCCTCGCTGACCGACCTGGCGTGAGGCTGTGCGGCAGGTTTGCGCTCCACCGAGCTGGCAATAGTGCAACTCCAGGAAAGGCTCACTAGGCCTCTTCCCAAGCTCCCACTCCACGCCTTGGCCCCGTCATTTTCCCTGTCCCGGTCAAACTTTAAAAAGTCAAATCTGTTCGTTTTGACGTGCATTCCATCACTGAACTGGTTCAAGGCCCCGTGTGAAGCCCACCCGTGGCCGGGCCAGGCGTGACAAGATGCCCGTCAGGAAGGAGGCTGCTTGGGCTTTGGTCCATGGACAGAGGCAGGCGGGACGCCTGGTGGTCAGTGATCCAGGAAATAAGGGAGTGGCTGGGGCTCAGATGTCAGGCCTTGGCCAACTGGTTTGGAGTAAGGGGTGAATAGAAACCGGAAGTGTTACTCAGCCTGGATTCCCCCTGGGGCCTCCACCCCTCCTCCTCTCTTCCTTCCAGCCAGGCCCACCTAAACTTGAACCCCCAGCCTCCCAAGCACCAGCTGCGACAACTCATGACAGCCCTCGACAACTCATGACAGCCCTCGTAGTGGTCTAGCCTCCACAGGAGGGAACCCAAATGAGGCCCCCAAAGCCAGAGGGGCAGAGCTAAAGGCTAGGGGGTGGCAGGGCTCTGGCCCTCGCACTGCGCTGCCACCTGGGGGCGTCTCAGAGGATGAGAGGCTGAGCAGCCAGCCCTCATTTCAAGCCAACCTGCCCTACTCTGCTCTGCTCCGCCAAGAGTCCAGAGTCACCCTTGGCCTGCCCAGCACCCCATCCCAGGAGGGGTTGAGCCCTTTACAGGCATGGGGCTGCTCCCGCTAACACACCCTTGCCTCCTCCCCCACCCCAACAAGCTGGGTTAATGAGGGCCTGCCACCAGCCTCTGGGGCTGAGTCACCCACCCTGGCCTTCTCCCTTCCCCAACAATGGCACCATGCTCCTGCCTTTCAATTAGCTCCTGCGCTCCCCCACCTCCCAGGCTCTCGGGCTGGGGAGCCACCCCACCTCCCCAGTGATGAGAAAGGAAGCAGCGAGAAAGGAAGCAGCAGTGACACATGCCACAGGGCAGGACCGTGCTGCTCCGAGGAATCTCAAGCTCCCCACTGCCCTGGGGTGTTGGCTGCAGAGCCCCAATCCCTGCAAGGGAGCGGATGCTGCAATTACCTGAAAGCATGAAACCCTGCTTCCCACCTGACTGAGTCAGCTGAAAACAAAACACTTCTCCACTGCCACACACTCCCACGGACAGCCAAGCCACTAATCAGAGTCCCGGAGCCGCCAGCCGAGAAGGCACAGCCAGTACTGCTCCAGACCAGCGTCGGGCAGGGAAGGGAGATCCCACCGGCTGCCCCTGGCCTGTTCCGGCAAGCTGGCCCAGCCTGCCAGGTGTCTTCTGGGACACCACCATGCTGCCCTGCCTCCGGCTCCAGTAAGTGCTGCTCCGGGTTTTTTCCCACTGCTCTATCAAGTAACTGGGCCGCCCCTGCTCTCCGAGACACTTGCCAGGAGCCCCAGGCTCTCCAGGAGAGACATGCCCCCTGCTCTGGGCCTTGTCCTACCCCCAGGGACGTGGACCAGAGGGCTGTGCTGAGAGGACCCCAGAGGCCTCTGCCCCTGACCCACGGAGGCTGACACCCTGAATCAAGATCACCAGCTCCAGCAGGGACCAGATGGTCACTGGCTGCTCTTGACCAGCTAGCTGCTGGGCCTCTGAGGCTAGGCTGTCTGTCAGCTGGCCCCACCCCGGACCCCATGGAGACCTGGCGGAAGGGCTCCTTCCGCAATGCCTTCTTCTTTAAGCGGCTGAGCCTGGGACGGCCAAAGCGACTCAGGCGACAGGGCAGCGTGTTGAGCCAGGCCAGCACAGCTGGCGGGGACCACGAGGAGTACAGCAACCGAGAGGTCATCCGGGAGCTGCGAGGGCGGCCAGACGGCCGGCGCCTGCCACTGTGGGGGGATGAGCAGCCCAGGGCCACCCTGCTGGCCCCACCCAAGCCCCCGCGCCTCTACAGAGAGAGCTCCAGCTGCCCCAACATCCTGGAACCCTCTGCTGCCTACCATGCCGCCTACTCAGCCACCCTGCCCACAGCGCTGTCCCTGGGGGGGGCCCTCCACCAGTACTCAGAGGAGGACCTTCTGGACCCTCCCCGCTTCCAGGAGACACCTGCTCCGGACCTCAGCGACCCCTTCTTCTCCTTCAAAGTGGACCTGGGGGTTCCCCTTCTCGAGGAAGTTCTGCAGATACTGAGGGAGCAGTTTCCCAGTGAGCCCCACTTCTGACAGTGGGGCGGGGGAAAGCCTGCAGGCCCAGTGGGCGTGGGGCTGGAGAAGGCCGGAGGACCGGAGGTGCAGAGGTCAGCTGGCAGTGCTGTGATGGGCGTTGCCTGGCGGAGCCCTGGAGGAAGCTGGCCAGGGTGGGAGCGGGACACCGACCCTGCCGCGGAGGAGACGAGAGGATGGCAGAGGGGGACAGAGGGGTGGCGGGGAGGACGCAGACAGTGCTGCTGTTGGCAGACAAGTCTCAGGGAAAAGTTCCAGCCCAGGCTGCAGAGGCAGCGAGGAGATGGCCTGGCTGGCAGCACAGTCCAACCAGGGTGCATGCGGCTATTTACATTTACATCCACGGAAATGAGACCCACGGAGAAATGCCAGCTCCCGGTCACATTTGAAATGTTCAGACACCGTAGCAGAAACTTCTCATGGACAGCCAGCAGTGGCCAGGGGTAGAGGGTTGGGGCAGTGGGAGGGCAGGTAGGGAGAGGGTATTACTCAGGAAAAAGGCCCAAACCAGCCATTAGCAGAACTTGGGGCGGGGGGAGTCGGGGGGCTGAGCGGCACAAGCTGCCGGGAGCAATCCCTGGTGGCCGGCAATTGACAAGGCTCACAGAGCAGGGCCATGGGGAAATGGCAGAGTGATCAGTGATGGGACCCCTGGGGGAATGAGTGAGGAGCGTCCCCTCCCCTCCTCCCTCCACAAGATAGAAGAACTGGACCAAGGGACAGACCCCGACTGGTGACTGTTACGGAGAGGATGGCAACCTCTGCCCTGCCCAAGCCCTTCTGACCAGGGGGCCCTGCCCTGTGTCCTGGCTAGACGACTTGACACCAGGACCCATGGGCTCGGCCGGGCTGTGTGCTTGGGCCCCAGGCCTCTGCAGCGAGGGCCACTCCCCAGCCACATGGGCAGCATCCAGCTTCCTGGTCCTCTCCTGGGGAGGGCCCTGGCTGAAAGGCTCCTCTGTGAACGCGTGAGATAAAGAATAAAATTCTTCTCACACACCTGGGGCGTGTGATCTTGGGCTAGGAAGCAATAGTGAGGGAAGGGGTCGCTAGAAAAAGGTCCTGAGTTGGACTCCGAACCACCTCATCCCCCTCCCCTGGGAGGACCTGGGCCACATGCACTGCAGGTGGTGGGGCTGGAGGAGGCAGGAGGGGGTGCGGGGGGCACGCGCGGGTCAATGAGAGCAGCTCCTACCCTGTCTCTCCACAGGGGAGCTATAAACCATGCAAAGACCACCAACCCCCTTCCGCTCACCCCCCCAGCCACCCCTCCTACACCCCCCCCACCCCCGTCATTTCACAGAGTTCTACCTCTTGCCCCAAAGTTTCCTATCCCATCAAAGCAGGGACCGGTGTGGCCAGGAGCCAGGTAGCCCATCATACTTCCCAGGCCATGGGAAGGACTGAACAGTCTTCGTGGTGCAGTGAGAACTATGCACTTGGGTTGGGCACATTTCAGCCTACTCTTGACCACAAGTTGGGCACCCTGCCGTTGGGCTGGCAGTAGCCCAGTCTGCTGGGCGGCCAGCGGTCTTTCTAAAGAGGATGTATTGCCTCTTGACAGGCCATCCCTGTCTGGTGTGGCCACAGACATGATCCGGGAAAAAACGAAGTGGTGGGGAAGGAAGAGGCTGCTCTAGTCTCCTGCTGTTTTCTTGTAGCATGGGGCTCTAAGCATAAATGCCTCACACTACAACCAGGTCACCTGGGGGCCAGGAGAACTCACCTGGAGCTGAGGTAAGAAGTCTCCAAAAGGAAAGGCAGCGGCAGGGAAGTGACTTCTCTGAGGTGGCTCTTCTAGCCAGTCTACCTCCCTCCTGATGGGACCAGACACTGATTGCCTTTGGCTGTGTCTGATCGTTACCAGGGTTCATTGGGATTGCCCTCCTGCTCGGTACTGCCATCCCAAACCAAGGGGGGATGTTTCACTACCAGCAAAGGGAGGCATGAGCAGGAGCAGAGTGCATCCTTTGAACCCTAAGCTCCAAGCCACTGAACCCTTCTGATCCAACAGATGGCTGACAGCAGGGTGCGGGCAGCAGCAGCACCAAGAGCCAGAGTTTGAGATAGTGGTGGGCTTTCCACAGCACCAAGTACAGCTGAGTGTCTCTGGGAAGGAGGTTGGCTTGTGGGATGGAGTGTTCCCACTAAGGAGGTTGGCTTAGTGGGAAGCTAGGTTTGCGGACCCTCACAGCTAGAGCTGAGCATCTCTGGGCTGAGGCTCATGGCTGAGTAGCATGCCCTTTGAACGTCTATTGGCAGTGCACAAAGAGCTTTGGAACCCTGCTCAACCAAGGAGGAGGCCGAGGGCCAGAGAGAGGCCTGTCTGTAGGCACAGCAGAGAAGAGATGGTCCTGATTGCCCACTTGCAACTGCTCATTTCTCACCTGGCTTGTAGTCAGTGAACTTCTCTAATAAACCCCACCATCGTGGGTTCAGTGTGACCACTGCGGTGAAGTCTCGAGCCCAGCCGAGAAGTAGAGTGCCGAAGGGAGACCAAGTGGTGTTAGGGTTGACAAGGGTCGATAGAAATTGGCTGTCAATACCGAGAACGGTGATCTTGTCACCTTTGTGTAGTGGGAGGAGGTCACTCGTCAGCCCCAACGTCATTTTTCCTTCTTTCTCTTTTAACAAGAGTCAACACAACCATCGCCCGTCTCACTGGACTCTGTGGAAAAGAGTCCTGAGACAAGCTCTAACAAGAAGGGGCCCCCAAACTCGGATGGGCTCAGTGTCATGAGGCCTGGCTCTTTACCTGTGACAGTCCTGGGTGGCTGCGGCCCCCTGTGCCCTGGGGCCGTCCTTCCAACCAGGAAATCTTCAGGGGGTTATCAACCAGCCCCACCTCATTCTGAACAGCCAGCTCCTGCCAAACAGAACATCCAGTCCTGGTTCTCATTAACCCAATCAGCTATAACAGCTCCTCCACCCACCCCCTCCCACCCCCCCACCCCTAACCCCGGGAAGAACCAGAAGCAGCATTTCAGTTCTCCAAGCCAAGTCGGGCAACCTTGGCAGCCTTCCAACAACAGTGTGCTGAGGCTCTGACCCTTCCCATGGGACAGAGGGCACGGGCCCTCTGAGTTCAGGAGTGAGGGGAAGACAGGGTTTGCAGTCCACCCCCAGGGCTGCTGCCCCACGGGAGGGGAGGCACAGAGGCAGTGGCCTGCACGAGCATCAGCCAGCCAGCCCCTCCCAGCCCATCTCCTCCTGAGGATAAGGGGACATTGGGCAGGGCCTTGGATCTGACCTGCTCCAGAGAATCCCCTGAGCTCAGAGGGGCCACAGAATCCGGTCCCCCACTCTAGAGCAGCAGAGCTGCCCCGGTACCCAAGCTTTGTGCAGCACTCACCGCAGCTTTGACCGCTGCAAACTCCACCACCGCCGCGCCGGGCTTCTTCCTGGAGAGCACCAGGTTGAGCACCTCACCATACTGTGGGGACAGGAGTGCTCTGGTGAGCACGGTCCTGCCTGCAGGATGGACCGCTCATGCCAGACCAGCCTGGGCTGTCCTGGGGCCCACTGGGGCCCTACCGGCTTCTTTCTTCTTTTATTGTTGTGGGAAAAAAGTGCATAGCAAAACATTAGCCAACTCGGTGTTTTTCCACATGTACAACTTCCTGATCTCCATGACAATAACCATGGTGTGCCACTAGTCACTGCCAAATTCTGCGGGGGCAGCTTCCTATTAGAATCTGGGAGAAAGGAGATCAGAGATGGGAAAGCATTTTGTTCCAGGGCTGGGATGCAGTGAGGGCGTGGTCTCTGTTCACCCAACAGTAAGGGGAGGAGGAGGGTCAGGAACAGGAGGAGGATGCGCAGTGTGTGGCGAATCACCTCCGTGCACAACTGCCCCTTTGCCTGAGACCTGACGAACTGGACCCTGGACCAAAGCGGGACCACGGAGAACAGAAGTTCAAGTCCTCGTAGGACCTAGGCTTTCTGCAATCAGAGAGGAATCCCAGAAGCAATGGCCCTGAGGTAATCTTCAAACCTTAAATCACAAATGTTCCCTGAAATCTTCTAAACCAAATGATAGGACAAATATGTTTTTAAGAACTACCTGTATGGTGGAGGGAGGGTGGGGTGGAAAGGGGGAACCGATTACAGGGATCTACATATAACCTCCTCCCTGGGGCACGGACAACAGAAAAGTGGGTGACAGGAGATGTAGGACAGTGTAAGATATGACAAAATAATAATTTATAAATGATCAAGGATTCATGAGGGAGGGGGGAGCAGGGAGGGAAGGGGAAAAATGAGGAGCTGATGCCAGGGGCTTAAGTGGAGAGCAAATGTTTTGAGAATGATGAGGGCAACGAATGTACAAATGTGCTTAACACAACTGATGGATTGTGATAAGAGTTGTATGAGCCCCCAATAAAATGATTTAAAAAAAAGAACTACCTGTATGAAGTCAAATGGACAACAATGTGAGAGATTTGACAGGACCTTCATGGGGGCAGTGAGTTTAGGTTAATGGGAAAGAATAACTCAGAAAGAGGGGGATGGGGGACGTTTGAATGACGTCATCCCTGTCCGTGAACTATACTTGTAACGATCATAATGCTGATTCCAGTTTTGCTGGGTATGTTCTCAATAAAATTAAATACGCATGTTTTTCCCAGGAATGCAGTGAGGTCAGTACATGAAATGGGCAGAGGACAGGGGGGCAGACTGGTGGCATGGCACTATGCCACCGCCAGCATGTGTTGAAGGTGGTAGAGGGGCCGGGCTTTTTACACACAGGGTGACGCAGTACCAGGAGGAGCGAGGCCTGAGGAGAAGTCTCTAGATTGCCCTGTGGCGGGCCGAGGTGGTAAGTAAGGCCCGGCGCGTGCTGGGGTTGGGGGTGAGGGGAGCGAGAGAGGCAGACCTTCTGGAAGAGCTGCAGGAGCACGTCTTTGGAGTAGCCGCCTCGGGACTCGTCCTCCTTCTTGCACTTCCACTTCAGCTGCAAAGACAGCGGGGATGCCGTCCTTCAACAGCCACCCTCGGCGGGGCCAGACCAGACCCTGCCTCTGGGGCTCCAGTCTGAGCAGAAATCCTCCTTGTCCTGGAGAGCCTGGAGTCTAGGGAGGACCTCCCACCAAGGTTGCCCTGGACCTCTGTCCTAGTCCTTCGAGAACTTTTAGGAGCACTCTGACCAGCAACCTCCACAGCAGAGCCTGGAGAAGCGGTCCTGATGTCCAGGCAGTTGGAGACCCAGGAGGAGGATGTGGGCAGTGGCGTTGGGTGCCCAGAGACCTCGCCTGCCCAGCCAGTCACATGTGGTCTGTTGAGAGGACGAGATGTGAGGTGGCCTGAGGTTCCCACCAGGACTCACCTTGAGTTTGGGGGTTCCTGTGCCTTCCGTATTCTCTGCTTTTCCTAGAAAAGTTGGGGAAGGAAGCCAGGGAGTGTGAGGAGTCCACAGTTCTCCCAAAGGAGACAAGGACCTAGACTAGGTCATCCCTGATCAAGGGCAGCATGTGCCCTGCTGGCTGAGGAGCCCGGTGGGGATGTGGATGTAACCTGTCACAGGTGACTACCCACGACTAGCATGCTTCCAATGAAGTGCTGGGAACACCTTCCATGGGGAGCAGGCCTTGAGGGGGAGGAACCACACCATTGACTTAAACTAAGTGCCCCAGAGCGCAGACGCAGCCGGGCCTGTTCCCCTGGTGGTGTGCACCAAGACAACATCTCCACCACTCAGGACGACAAGCAAGGGGACCAAGGAAGAAGGGGCAAGTATGTGTGTTGGAGTCAGGGTGGGGAGCCAGGCTCTGCTCCCCCATGCCCTGCTGGGGGTTCCAGCAGGGCGGAGCCTCCACAGTGACTCCCCCAGCAGCAGTGTGAGCTGCAGTGTGGCCACGTAGGCACTGAGAAGAGGCCTGGGAGGGGGTGGCGGGTGGGCGTGATCCACTCTCACCTCTCAACCTCTGTTCCCGTTCCTGCCGTATCTGCTCCTGGATCAGCTTCTGCTGCTCCTCCAGCTGCCGGGAACCCTCTTCTCGTAGGCGTTCGATCTACAGAGGGGGGCGTGGGTGGAGCCAATCCAGGTTTCCTCACCTCATACAGGTCCCCCAGTTGCCCTGCCTGCTAGGGCCCAGCAACCTATGGTTGGGACATGTGTGACCCAGATCCCGCAGGAGAGGCCACGCCCTCCCACTCTACGCTGCTCCACCCCCTCCCTGGAAGGCCCCCCCCTCTGCGAGCCTCCAGCCTGCTCACCTCCTGCTCCAGCGTGCGGGTGCTGCGCTTCTCCTCCTCCTCCTCCTCACTGCCGTGGGCCTGGGCCTGCCGCTCCCGGGCCTCCAGGTCTAGGCACACGGGCAGAGCTGACTGACCCAACTGCGGGCCTAAGCAGTTTCCACACGGCCGCAGCCCACCCGCCAGCTCTGGCTGCTCCCCCAATGTCCCAAAGAGGACACACACAACTCTGCGGTAACTGCACCCCGCCCCCCTCCCCCCCTGAATTGGTTCCCGCTTAGAAAAGCCACAGCCCCGAAGGGTGGGCACAGCTGGTGGCTGGTTCCCTCACATCTGTGCAGAAAGCGCCGGTGGGGGCCTGTGACAGGGGTATGGTGTCAGGATGCCAGTGGGTGGCACTGCTGGCTTCTTATCCTGGAGTTTGGCACCGCCGCCTGACCAGGGGCTTTGCCAACTCACCAAGTCTGCCTGCTCCCTGCCCTCCCAGGCCAGCTGTGTGGTACCCCTCTCCCAGGCCAGGGGCTCCCTGCTCTCCCTCCTGGCCTCTCTACTTAACTCCCACCCACGTGTCATTTCTTGTGCCTGAGAGAGAACTGAGAGGACCTGGATTGCACGTTACACAAGAAGGGTGCTTTAAAAATCCATGGGAAAAAGTTCATTAGATGACTGTAAACAAGGGGGGTGGGGGTGGGGGTGTAAAGGATGCCTCGGTGGATATTACTGGGAGATGAAAATGTAGCCAAACGGGTCGACGGTCAGTGTCGCAGCACTCAGTGGACGGAGGGACACGCTCGGGAACCCCATGTGCGCCCATAGGGTTTTCAAGGGCTACTGTTTTAAAAGCAGGTTTGTTTTAAATGCCTTTCTTCCAAGTGCCTGTGGGTGGCGCTGACCGTCTAGCCTCGGCTGGCTGCCCCGCGTAGTGAGCTAGAGCAGCAGCCGCGCGACATAGCAGACCTGGGCCTCCCTGGGCCTTCGGGGGAGCTTCTCCGAGCGTAAGTTATGGGAGGAATGAGGCCCAGCCAGACACAACGGGACCGGCTTGGCGTGAGGGTGGGCTCCAGCCAGACTGCAGGGGCCGAAGTGCCACCTCCAGCAAGACCTTTGCCTCCCAGTGCCTCGGCTTCCCCGTCTGGACAGATCGGCTTCCGGAACCACCGCCTCCAGCAGCGTCTGCGGTTGGTCAGACCACCGAGGGGCTGGGGTTATCCCTCCTACTCGGGCCCTTAGAATCCAACTCCTGAGGACAGGGTGCTGCCAAGAGCCTGCTCGGGGGGCTCTGCGTTGCTGGTCGGGTGGTGGGGTGGTGCAGGAAGAAAGATGAGGGGGACGATAACAATGGCCACCGGGAATGGAAACTGCCGACCACCCAGAGCTACGGGGTCACCTACCCAGCTTCACCTTCTTCCTCCTCTCATCGAGTTTCTGGGTCCTCTCTGCTGCCTGCTTCTTGGCTTTCCGGACCTTGTCATAGGCAGCCTGGCAGAGGCAGAGAACAAAGCTCCGTAGTCTCCCGAGTGCCCGCTGTCCCGACCCCCATCCCCAGGGCTGCACTCCACAGCCGGGGCCAGGGAAGCAGCCGGGCGGGGCCTCGAGGCCAAGGCGGCTGGAAGCACGGGGCACCCCAGGGCCCAGCAGACAGTGGAGGGTGCGCCTACCCTGGCTGCAGCATCGGTCAGCACCTCCAAGGCCTGGGAGAGCTGGTGAAAGAGTTCGGCTGGACGCAGGAGCCCGAGCAGGAGAGGAGAAAAGCAGGGTTAGGCTTGGTGACAGGGACGCCACCTTCCCTTAGAACAGAAGGGCCCAGACCGGCCAGCAGGGAAGGCGGAGCGCTTCGGGGTCAGTGCAGAGGGTTCTGTCAAAGCCTGGGGCCCCTGCCCGAGAGGCACACACTGGAGAGCTCAGATGGAGCCCACACAGTGCCCCTGCCCACAGGCGTCTCACCTGCGCGGGGATTATCCGGGTTTTTGTCGGGGTGGCAGGAGAGGGCCTTCTGCCGGTACGCCTTCTTCACCTGGAAGAGTCAGAAGACATGGCCGGTCACTGCTGGCCCCGCCCTCTCACCCCGGGAGGAAGAGCTTGCTAAAGTGACATGGGAAACCCGGCGGGCGCCTGTGCACCCCACCCTCCAGAGAGTCTGCTGGCCGGCTCTTCCACTGAGTCAGTCACCGCACAGCCACGGAGGGGAGGGGGAGGCTTGCAGTGGGCCGAGCCAGCCAGGGGTGGGCCTGCTTCTGGCTGCTGCCACTGCTCACCACCCTGCAGATGCCAATGGGCTCCTGGAAGGGGCGCAGCAGGACCTCCTGGGCTGTCCCCAGGCTCTCTGTAGGAGAGCGCACTGGAGGAAGATGCGGTCAGCACGTTGTGAAAGGTCCTCTTCCTAGGAATCAGGACGTGCAGAAGCATGCCAAAATCACAGTGCACGAGGATGCTCGCGGCAGTGCGACACCCACAACCGGAACCTGCCCAAGTCCCCCTCCCCAGGGAGGCCCGAGGAAGCCACGACGACGGGTGAGGGCCTGCCACCAGGTGCTGACAGAAAAGGCTCTCCACGGCCCGGAACAGGAGCGCCTTGAGTTGAACGCAAATCAATGCAACATCAGCAGTAACACACACTCGGCTCGGCACCTTGGTTCTTGCTTGCCCTCCACACGGGTCTCCATTGGAGAGCCTGAAGGCACTGGGGAAGGGCCTGCTGTGGTTCAAACCGCCAGACCATAGACACAGTTCGTATCTTCTAAGCAACAGGGATCGTCCTGGCAGGGCAATGATGGCCCATTCTGTATCTCTTTGTCTTAAAAAACAACCACCCTAATATTTCTTGTATTAGTACAAATAAAACACACCTAGCTAACAAGACTCTCTTTTGTGTATCTCTTACACGGCTGTTTTAAGCAGACAGAGAACAAAAATCTCAGAATCTGCCCTGTCTCCTCAGTCCCTTGCCTCTGTCCTACCCTGCTATCCTACCCTGCTACCCACTGCCCAACCTCCTCCGAGAGGAGCCCAGACCCAGAACTTCCAGGAACAGCTAAGGAGACGCACTTTCCTGATGCTCAGATGGACCCTATACATATTTTAAAGTAAGTACTTTTAAGCCAAAGTGCTAAATAAAAGCCTCCCAAGGCACACAGCCAACCAATGTCTGTCAAAAGAAGGCTGGCTGAGCAGGTGCCTGACTCAACTCCTGCCTCCACAGCCAAGCCCACAGGTGGCTGCCTTACCTGCGACCTCTGGGAGGATGCTGCCACCTGCTGGGCCAAGGTGAGCTCCAGCCTTTCAGCAGCCAAGGGGCGCACAGCCCAGTTGGGCTCTCCAGACTGAGCACGAGCAAGAGGGGCCCACACCTCGTTCGAGGACAGAGTGGGGACAGCTAGACTAGATGTACTTCCTGATTCCAGCTTCCTCCTGACCCATTTGCTCACCTCTCCAATCCCCAGCCTACCCAACTAACCTTAGTTCAGTTTTCAATAATTTTTTTTTTTTAAGAGTGGGGTGATAGCTTTTATCTGGAGCCCTAATTGGGCTGCTACCTGCAAGGTCAGCAGTTTGAAACCACCAGATGCTCCTCAAGAAGAAGATGGGGCTTTCTACTCCCGTAAAAAGTTATAGTCCCAGAAACACACAGGGGTAGTTCTATCCTGCCCTGAGGTCTTTAGGAGTCAGCATTGACTTGGTGACAATGGGTTTTATATAAAGGCCAACATTTTAAATGTCATCTGTATTCTTCATGAGCCTTATTTGTCTTTTCCTTTCCTTTGTGCCCAACTGCATTGTGCTGTTTTCTAAGGGAACACGACCACTGTGCCCAACTTTATTTTAAACCAAGCCCATATCTATATGGGCTTCAAGAAGTTTAATATTTAATTCCATTTCTCTCACAAATGTTATGGAAGTGAGGGGGATTCTGGGGGACTCTTAAGGTGAGGGCTCCTATCCTGAAGGGGTGGAGGGAACACCCAAATTTGTAGCCAGTAAGTCAAAGGTGAGGGAGTCAGGGACTCCCATACTTGCGGCTGCCATCTGATGTCTTGGGCAGACTGAGTCCGTTCCTTGTGAGCTCTGTGTGCCCACAGAATGGAGGCCTGCAAGTGCGGCTGGTGTCGGCAGAGAAGTGGGGCAGAGTCGTTTGCTGTCAGACAAATGGGATTTGATATGATGGTGCCCAGAAGGACTTGGCACCAGGGCTCCTCTAGGAGCCCTGGTGACGCGGTGGTTATGATTGGGGTCTGCATTTGGAAACCACCAGCCATTCCGTGGGAGACAGACAGGGATCTCTACTCCTGTGAAAAGCTACAATCTCAGGAACTCGCAGGGACAGCTCTAGTCTGTCCTTTGGGGCTCCTGTGAGCCGACATCGACTCCGTGGCCAGAGTTTATGGCTCTTCTAGCTGTAGTCTTTGGGATTCCAACCACAGGACTCAGTGGAACGATGCGACTGTGCGGTGCTTGGGGCCCACCCAGGGAACCGGATAGCTCTTGCGGAGGTGCCGCTCTGCACAACAGAACCAAACACCGCCCGGTCCCGGGCCGTCCGCACGGTCGTCCTGTGCTGGAGCTCACTGTGGCAGCATGGTGGAGCCCAGCTTCATTGTCGCCCTCTGCTTTACCAAGCATGGTGTCTTTCTCCAGGGACTGCTCTCTCCTGACAACATGTCCGCAGTGCTGGGGCAAAGTCTCGCCATCCTTGCCTCTCGGGGCACAGACCTGGGACGAAGGAATGCTATAGCAAAGAAAGCAAACTGAACTTGCAAGAGGCGCAAACGGGGTAAAAAGAACAGAACGTGAACGCAGGCACGAGACTGAAAACACACGAACGTTCCTGCGGTTCACACGCTGTGTGCGATTCAGCAAACGCAGGAGGGAAAGCCACGGGTGCTTTCTGAGCAGAACCGGGGTGGAAGGGGCCTCAGGCTCCGGGGAGCACAACAGGCTGGCTGGCTGCGGAGACTGGGGGCTCCAGGCTTGAGGAACCTTGCCCTTCTCTCCCTGCTGTGAAAATGGATCCCGAAGCAGCAGGCCTGCAGAACGCAGCACGGCAAACCTGGCCAGGAACAATCGGCGCTGCATGAGAAAAGTAACCAAAACTCACTGCATCGAGCCGGTGCTGCTCGCAGGGACGCTGCGGGCCAGGGAAGAACTGCCCCTCCTGGGGGTTTCTTTCTTGTTTGAGTTGCATTTTTAAAAAATTTAAATCATTTAATTGGGGGTTCTTACAGATATTATAACAATCCGTAAATCAATTATATCAAGCAAGCTTGTATATATGTTGCCATCATCATTTTCAAAACATTATCTTTCTATGAGCCATTATTATTGGCTCCTCTGGGTTTTTTAAATCATTTTACTGGGGGCTCATACTACTCTTATCACAATCCATACATACATCATTGTGTCAAGCACATTTGTACATTCGTTGTCCTCATCATTCTCAAAACATTTGCTCTTCACTTAAGCCCTTAGCATCAACTCTTCATTTCCCCCCCTCCCTCCCCACTCCCCCTCCCTCATGAACCCTTGATCGTTTATAAATTATTATTTTTTCATATCTTACACTGTCTGACGTCTCCCTTCGTCCACTTTTCTGTCAGCTCCTCTTTTTTTCCCACCCTTCCACCCTTGTGAACCCACGATAAATGATACATTATCATTATTTTCATATCTTACACCATCCGCTGTATCCCTTCACCCACGTTTTTGTAGTTCTCCCCCCGGCGACTATAACTATTTACAGGAGTAGAAAGCCCCATCTTTCTCCTGCAGAGCAGCTGGTGGTTTTGAACTGCAGACCTTATGGATCAGAGTCCAGTGTGTACCCACTGTGCCACCAGGGCTCCTGTGTAACAATTAAGCATATAGTGAAAGGTATCACGAAAGTCTCCACCCAAATAATTACAGATTTTCATTTATTTATTTACAGAAGGTTTTTAAAGAGCTGAATCTAGAATCAAAGAAATGGAAAGAAAGAAACCGCGGGGAGTCTTCTCTCCTCAGAGGCTCCTGAAGACGTTGCCAAGCACTCGAGCCAGGGAAGAAGTCACAGGCCTTGCCCATGCACACGCGCATGCAGAACACACCACATGAGAGAGCCTGCCGATGGCAGTGTGTGTACAGCGCTTCCTGACAGGACTGGATTCTTGAATTGTACAGCATGTAGATGATGTGCCAATCAAACTGTCAAAAACAAAAAGGTTGGATTTCTCCAAGGCAAAAATGGTAGCAAAATTAAAAGCTGAGGAAAAGGAAACGGAGGCAGTGTCTGCACCACATGTGACCGTCCTTCCTGCACACGGGTAAAGAACTCGTGCAGGCCCCAAGCGACAGACTAAGTACGACAGGAGAGACAAGTACAAATGCGCTCATCACGCGATACATGTCCATGCCACACGATCAAAATTAAGTCCTTTCACTTGCCAATCGGCAAATAAAGGTTCATACCCTCTTACCTGGCAAGGCCTCTTCCCCAGCCTATTCTACAGAAAGCATTAGAATAAGCCAGACAATAGTCATAAACCTTCCTGTTTCTTGTAACATTGTTCATCGTAAAGTCAGAAATCATTGAAATTCCACAATAGCAATTTAAAAATTAGCCCTTAACCAGTAGTCAAGTTTCAAGTGCTGTATGTACATTAACTGACGCATCCCTCAAACACCCCCACCCCCCCCCCATGATGGAACTGTGACTGGAAACCCACGTGATCGTGTTTTAGCTGGCACGCCAACCCCACAGCAATGAGCTGTGGCCGTCCCCCCAGCCACGCCAGCAAAGGCTGCGCGGAATACAGGCTTTCCACTCTCGCCCGGGAGAGCGAGGGCTTCCACCCCTGCCGAACGACAACATTCACGCGGGCGAGGATCTCTGGAAGAAAGCATTAAGGTTGCTGTTTACTTTCCACCCTGAGCTCGGACAACACTTACAAGCAGACAGGGCGGGGTGGCGCCTTTCCACTCTTCTCCTCTGGGAGGCAGCATGGTTCACTGGGCGAAGGAAGGTTCTGCATCTTCCACGCGTTC